TTCCTACAATTGAAATATCAATGCTTGATTGAAATATTTCCCTCCTTTTAAGAATGAAGATCATCTTTCCTAATCCTCAGGTTTTTTTTCTCTAATATGTACTGTGCCTACAATACACATTGTACCAGTGGTTTAAAAAATTACAATTCTGTTTTGTTCTGTTTCTGAGAAGGTGCTGGGGATGGAACTGGGGCCTTGCAAATGCTGGGTAAGCCTCCCCCCTGAGCATAGCCCTAGCACTTTTTCTTTTCTTTTTACTTCTAGGTTCTCTGAGAGATGCATCTTCAGGGATTTGTTGTGGCTGAACATCAGAGTGTATAAGCATGACTTTACTAATTCATCATTAGCATCTCCAACATCACTGGGGATGGAATCCTAAGAGTCCTCCACTGAATGTCCAGTCTGGTGTTCACTGAAAGGTCATGTGGCATGTAAATGTTTATAAGACATAAAATTTTCTTTAATAAGAAGTATGTTTCTCTGATGGGAGAAGGGTGGGAAATCTTGGGACTGTCCACTTGCCTCTTCTGACAAACCCAAGCTGCAGTCCTGGAGGAGATTCCAGAAAACTCAGGATTGCTCTATATCAGGATTCTCAAAAAAGTGTGTTCAGAGGCCCCTAGGAGTCCCTAAGACCCCCACAGGGGTTTGTCAAGTTGTTTTTGTAATAATACTAAGATCTTATTTGCCTTTTGAATTCTACTTTTTTTGAAAAATTTTTGAGACAGGGTCTCATGTTTCCCAGGCTGGACTCAAACCTGAGACCCTCCTGCCTCAGCTTCCTGCAGAGCTGGGATTACAGGCATGGACCACCATGCCTGACTTGTCTTTTAAATTCTTATTTTCTGGAGTACACGATGGCATTTTTCTAGAGGCTACATGAAGTGTGTTGTTCAGATGGCTAATGAAATGCAATGTTGTGTGTGTGTGTGTGTGTGTGTGTGTGTGTGTGTGAGAGAGAGAGAGAGAGATATTTGAGCCCAAGGCTTCATACATGCTGGGCAAGGGCCCTACCTCTGGCCTACATCCCTACCTTCTAGTCTTGTATATTCTTGTGTTTGGTTTAAGATTTCCTCAGTCTTCGTTTCTCCTGTGGAACATAGCGATAGGCATAACTTACATAAATTAAAGCTCCTGAGCATTTGTTAAGAGTCTCCAGTGACCCAAACGTGTGAGAACCGCTGATTCACATCGTGGGTTTTCATGTGAGAAAACGCCACGTCCTTGGGTACTACATGCCTATGATTCCTCCCTGGTAGCTGTCGCTGTTTTGAAAGTCCTCCTCCAGGTATGTCGTCCGAGGACCCCCACCCTGTCATATTGCTTTCTTCAGTTCTGACAGCGCCTCTCTGCCCAGCGAAGCCCACAGAGCTGTGATGTCCCACACTCTCCACCGCAGCCCTGGCCTCCAGCTGCCCCACGTGGTCTTCACCCCCTCTCCTCCACTCCGGGACTCTGATTTTTTATGGTGGTCACTTCACTTCTCAGTTCCTCTCATGACACAAATGTCCCCCCATACAAGCCCAGCCATCAAAAGACCAGTGGAGAAAATGGGGAAGTCCGCTGTACCCAGCCAGGGCCATTTCCCCTTCGATGGTACTGGTAAGGCTTTTCCAATTCCTACGTGAGAGTTGATTGTGGCTGGGAAATATATTCCTTCCTCAGGTAGAGGATGATGTCTTTCAATTGATTATGCCTTACATCTAAACGTGTTCATTTGTTTAACAGCAGTTTTGAAGAGTGGAACGAGGGTTCCAGGCTTGTTAACAATATTGTGGCAACGTGGGAAGAAATGATTTATATGCAAATGCTATGAATTACATTGAATTTCAAAAATGCCTTCTCCTTTGGCATCTTCTTCCTCTCCTCCTCTCCCTTCTTCTTTATTTGAGAATGAATTACGGGATTCTAGGCGGACATTTACTGACTACACGGGGCAGCTGGAGGCAAGAGCTACGGTGGAGAGTGTGGAAAGCCACATCTCTGCGGGCCTTGGTGGGCAGGAAAGTATCCTTCCTCCTCTCTGAGATGCCTCAGGACTGTAACAAAACAGAAGACGCGTGGAGCGAAGGCTGGGTGGGTTTAACACCAGACCCGTGTTCTGGTGGTGTTAGTGCATCTGCACTGAGTTCTCTAAGACTGTTCCCTTACTTTTCTGTGCTGGGGACTGAACCCGGGGCTTCAGCATGTGCTCTACCAGGGAGCCACACCCCAGTCTGGGTTGCTCTTGGCGTCCTCGAGTGCCAGGGCATTGCTGCCCCTGACACGGTCATTTCTTCATCAGGCAGCAGGCTCCTGGTGATGGGAAAAATGGAGCCTTCCAAAAGCTTCCATCTGAAATGCTGACTTTTCCTCTGGGAGATGCAACTAGCAAGCTCAGCATCTCTCCAAACCCCATGTTCTTGCCCCAAACAAACAAATAAATGAATAGGATGTCTCTTTTTGAAATGAAAAGACTTGGATGTCTTCATCATCCGGTAGGAGCTGTTCTTTCAACACCATGCAGTATCTTAGAGTCTGTCCTTAGCTCTGTTTGCTAAGATTCTGAGGCTGGAAAGCGGGTGGAGGGTTTCTCTCAGCACCTCCATGTGCTCTGCTGGGCGTTCTCAGATATTTCACTGCTGTCACCGGCTCACTGGAAGGAGGTTGTTCTCCTGGTTTCATAGTGAGATAGCTGGCATCCTCTGGTCAGTTAACCTGCCCAAGCCATTTGGCCACATTCGAATGTCTGGATCCTAAGTCCTGACTGTTCCATGCTTTGTCTCAAAGATAACCCTTTAAGTGCTTCATCTGTAGTGCATCGATTTACATCTGACAAGCTAAGGTGGTCCTGAGGGGGAGCACTCACCTAGCAGACAGTTAGATACAGAGCAAGATCCTGAAACTTCAGCATCTCTTTTGTCAGTTTCTTTAATAAAAGTAATAAATAAATAAAATACTGTTTACATCATCTTTAAGTGTACACCAATGATTTGGTGACCTGCATAAATAAATGCTTACATCAACAAAATTTCCCTCTTACTTGCAAGTCTTGCATGAAACTACCACACCTACTTTAGTAACCAAGGAATGTGCTCTCTAGAATCAAGTTAGTAGTAAATATGACAAAAGAAAGGGAAAGTTAGGGTTCCCACATTTTTAAAAGCAGGAAATCTTTGGCTCCCATCATAGACTCAATTATTGATAGGACCCAGAGGGAGGTGCCCTCACTTGGTGGCCCTGGAG